CTGTGCTGGTAGCTTTAGTGTGGTCTTGTTTGTGAACATTTGGGTAAATGCCCAAAAGTGGGATTGCTGGGTCATAGGGGAGCTCTATGTGGAGTCTTTTGAGGAAACTCCATACTACTTTCCAAAGTGATTGAACAAGTTTACACTCCCACCAACAGTGCAGTAGGGTTCCCTTTTGACCACATCCCCTCCAGCATCTGTTATTAGAGTTATTGATTATAGCCATTCTAACTGGGGTGAGGTGGAATCTCAATGTTGTTTGATTTGCATTTCTTTTATGGCTAGATAGGTTGAGCATTTCTTCATGTGTCTATTGGCCATCATTCTTTCCTCTTCAGAGAAGTTTCTCTGTAAGTCTTTAGCGCACTTATTTATTGGGTAGTTGTTTCATTGAGGATTTGTTGTTGGGGAATTTAATTTTTTGAGTTCTAGTATATTTTAAATATGAGACCCTTGTCCATCGTATGGCTAGTGAAGATCTTCTCCCAATCCGTGGGCTTTCTATTGATCTTGCTAGCTACGTCCTTTGCCATGCAGAAGCTCTGCAGTTTCTTACAATCCCATTTGTCCAAACTTTCTTTGATGTGTTGATTCTGGGTCTCTTTTAAGAAAATTTCGGCCTTTGCCAAGGAGCCCTAATGTTTCTCCTGTAATGTTTTCAGGGTGTCTGCTTTGACTTCAAGGTCTTTAATCCATTTGGAGTTGATTCTGGTGCAGGTGATAGGTAAGGATCTAGCTTTAGTTTTCTATAGGTGTTTAACCAATTTTGCCCCCACCATTTACTGAAGAGGCTGTCTTTTATACATTTTATTTGTTTAGCTCCCTTATCGAAGATTAGGTGGCTATAGGTCTGTGGGTTAATTTCTGGGTCTTCAGTTCTATTCCATTGTTCCTGAGGTCTGTTCTTGTGCCAGTACCAAGCTGTTTTGATTACTAAGTACAAAGCATCTTGATCAGTGTTGCCCCTTTCATCATTCTTCCCCATCTCTCCCAACTCTATCCATCCTTCATCTGCAATTTACCTGGTTCCATCTTCACATATGTACATTGAATATTATGCCTGCGTTTGCCCACCCTTCCTCTCTCTATTCATGTGTTGCTCCTTCCCCTTGATCTCACTCTTCCCCTTATATACACAACACATGTTCCAGCTTCCTAGTATTTGTTGTTGTTGTTTTGAAACTGTAAATTAATTATTTAAAGGAGTAAAATCAAAGCAGGAATCCTTCCCTGCATATACCATACTTCAGTTAATACATGTATATGATCCTGTATGTTTACATATATATTTATAATTTAGATTTAACTTCCACACGTGAGAGAAAACATGTGACCTTTGTCTCCCACATTGGAAAAATTATATGAAGACAGGTTTCAGCAAGCATCATTGTGAGATTTATCCAAACACATCTCAGAGATGAATTAGTGAGCCCCTCTGAAGCCAAGGATGTTTTCTCAGGAGTCTTCTGTCTCTGAAACAAAAACAAGACCACCAGAAATTTTTCTTTAGGAGGCTAAAAATGGAAGAGATAAAGAGATGTTGGCCCAGTGGGAAAATAAAGCTTCCAAGGCCTGTGCACACTCTTCTATACTGGGACCTAAATTTAGAATCAAATCTGAAAACAAGATCAAAGACTGCTTCCTTTGCAAATTCCACATTCCCAGTCTGAGTTTCCGTTGGTATCTTGTAAGATCATTTCCCAAGCTGCTATCCCAGGCTACATCTGACTCAGAACCTCCCCTCCTCATCCCCCTCCCCCGCCCCACCGTGTCCCCCAAACCGAGAGCTGGATTTTCTGGCACAAGATCGGAGGAAAATTCCAGAAAATTCTTCAACAACTAGAGTTTGGAAAGGAAGATTTTCCCCATCATTCCCCAAGCCTAAACTGAGCTGCTTTCTCCCTCCCAAGGCTGTGGATTATTAAACCTGATTTAATTAAACTCTGATTACCTACAAAAGCCTGGCAACCTCAGTCCTCAGATCTCAGCCTCCTGATTAGCTAGGATTATAGGAATAAGCCTGGTGCCCAGCCTGGCCTTTTTTTCTGATCATTTTTTCCTCTTGCCACACCTCTGTTTGCACTTTATCTTTTTTCCCTTCTACACTGAAACAAAAAGTTCTAGCTCAAGCGAATTGTGTTTTAGAGAGGAGGTGCAGTCAGAGTGATTGTTACAGAAAATGAAGGAGCATTGGGGACAGTAGAAGTTCCAACAAAGAAGTTTCCTTCTTTCTGTGCTCTTTCATACAAGTCCTGATTTATTCTTAACTCAAAAGTTAATACCCACAAAGTGGGCCATCCTGGATCAAGAAAATGTGATATATACATACACACACACACACACACATACATATATATATATATATATACATATATATATATATATATGAATTCTATGCTTCCATCAGAAAGAATGACACCAGCCATTTGTGTGGAAATTGAAAGACTTGAAAAAAAATGGTATTAAGTGAAGTAAGCCAGACCCAAAGAAACATAGGTCCCATCGTTTCCCTCATTTGTAATAATGTAGTATATGTCTAGGACAATCCTAGCAGATGAGAAGAACAGCTCAATAGCTATGTACATATGACCATATAAGATGATGCTAAGCAAAATGAATTCCAAGACATGGACACAAACAGTTTTTCTTTGTTGCTGTTGTTTTTTAATGTACTGCATGATTTCTTTTTTCTTTTGTGTTTTCCTTCCTATGGTTTATCTCTAATTGTCACTGTATTTGATCTTGGTACCCTAGGTATTTTATATATATATATATATATATATATAATATATGTTTATCTGAATTAGGGAAGGGAAGGGGAGCAACAAAATGGTGAGACAAAGGACAAAGGGGGAACCAATGTGCCAGCAATACTCACAAGATAGTATGTTAGAAATGATCTGTACAACTTGGAGGGGGAGGAGGTTGGGGAGGGAAAGTGGGAGAAAACTGAGGGAGGAGGTTACAAGTTCAACAAACAGTGTAATCACTACTTTACTTATGTAACTGTAACCCCTCTGTACATCACCTTGACAATAATTTTTTTCTTTTTAAATACATTTTTATTGTGAAAATACTGTACAGAGGGGTTACAGCTACATGAGCAAGGTAACGAGTACATTTCTTATCCAGCATCGTTGCCTCCTCCTTTGTTTTTCCCCTATACTATCCCGTCCCTCCCACCTCCTCAACTATACCCCCGTACCCCCCACCCTCTAGTATAAAGTTTTGTTGGTTTTTTTTTTAATTGTGAAAATACTGTACAGAGGGGTTACAATTACATGGGCAAGGTAATGAGTGCATTTCTTATCAAGCATTGTTTCATCCCTTGTTTCCCCTTCCCATCCTTTCCCATCTCCCGCCCCCCTCCCCCTCTCTCCTCCCCTCCCGGCACCTGCACCAAAGTTGTAAAGTTCATTTTCGACCTAACATCTTATACATCTCATTGGTGCAATGGGTCCACCTGTATCCCTATTTAAACTGTTTTTTCCCTTCCCCTCCACAAATTATGCCAACATCAGATACAGTGAAACAGGGTATTTATACTGTGGGGGAGGGACATACAAAGCAACCAAGAAATATCTTATAAATATGTTAGACACAATAGCAAACAAGAAAAAACATTTGAGTCCTTAACTTGGGGTTCATTTCGCTTAACATCAACTTATCTGACCATTTCTGCTTTTCTCAGACATATACTAGTCATTGCAAATAAGGGCTTGACAATAAAATTTTTATTTATTTATTTATTTTTGTAGGGGTCCGGTCGTGGGGCCTGAACTCTGAGCCTGGGCACTGTCCCTCAGCTCTTCAGCCCAAGGCTAGCGCTCTACCACTTGAGCCACAGTGCCACTTCCGGCTTTTTTCTTGTTGCTTATGTGGTGCTGAGGAATCAAACCCAGGGCCTCAGGCATGCAAGGCAAGCGCTCTACCACCGAGCCAACTTCCCAGCCCTTGGCAATACAATTTTTTTTTTGGGGGGTGGGGTGGGATCCGGTCGTGGGGCCTGAACTCTGGGCCTGGGTGCTGTCCCTCAGCTCTTCAGCTCAAGGCTAGCGCTCTACCACTTGAGCCACAGCTCCACTTCCGGCTTTTTTCTTTCTGCTTATGTGGTGCTGAGGAATCGAACCCAGGGCCTCAGGCATGCAAGGCAAGCGCTCTACCACTGAGCCACCTTCCCAGCCCGGCAATAAAATTTTTAAAGAAAGTTAATACCCAGAAAGTGGGCCATCCTGGACTCAAAAGCAATCTCATTTCCTTGTAAACGTTTGTGGAGGGAGCCCAGTAACTAAGTTGGGGAACGTTCCATAGATTAGCTAATTGATTGATGACTATACAGCACTATAATAGGAATTTACATTTATTTTTTAAATCCTGGCAGAAGAAACTTATAGGGAGAAAAATACAAGTCTAACAGTAGAAAACTAACAGTAGAAAATAAACTGGGCATAGTGACATCTACCTGTAATCCCAGCACTCAGGATGGGCCTACAGAAAGATCCAGAATTCCAGGGCAGAATGGCCTAGTTAGGAGACCCTGTCTCCAAAAACAAAATCAAAACAATCTATAAAGCCATACATTTCATCACTCTTCCTCCAATTTTCTAGCAATGGAAGAAATTTGTCTATTATTAGTGAGTCACTTAGAGACGTACAAAGAAGAGAGAGAGAGGGAGAGAGTAAAAATGACTAAGAAAACTAATGTAGTTAAAAGAGCTGTCACGAGGGAGAAAATGGGGAGGGGTAGGAGCAGGAAGGAGCAGGAACACTTCGCTTAGATGGGGCTTTCCTGAGACGCCTCAGCCCAGCCATTGTACAGAACAAATGTCCTGAACCTGAGCAGAAAGCAAGGAGGGGTTTTGAAGTTTGTTTGCAAGAGTTTAAAGTGTCCTCTGGCGACACATTCTTAAGAACAATTTGTAATAGTACAGACATTCCATTCAAATTAGTGGCTGTTCTGAAAAGAAATTAAGACAGTAGCTGCTGAGACAAGCAATCTGGAAGAACAGGAAAGTTAATATTCACGGAGTTTTCCAGGCTGGTCTCACAGTCCTGGCTCTGTATCTGCTCTGTTCCTGAACTCCCAAATGCTCTATGGGCAGCAGCCTTCTCAGGTGAGTATCTTTTAAAGTCTCTCTGCCTCTCTTAGTGTCTAAAACTCTGATTCTCAGTGTTTGTTTGGTTAGCATGTAAATACAAACTGATGAAGGCTTTGTCTTTCACAGTAAAACTAGAGGCTTTAAACCTCAGGCCAAACTCCAGGAGTTTCACGTCAAGTAAGGCCACTAACTCCTATAGGACAAATAAAGAGATTTGATTAAAGACAGAGGAAGGAGCTATATTTCGTGGCAGCCACAGAAAGACAGCACTTCAGTATTTCATCAGCTGTCTTCTGGAGGTACAGACATTTGTTAAATAGGGAGAACTGGGATTATATCAGAAAGGTATACGACCTTAAAAGAGTCCCAAGTCACAGGTATATTCAGAGGTGACCAAAGGTAGTATAATAGTCCATTGTCAGGATTGTTCAGGTGGGGTCTTATTACACTTTGTGTCATTGACATAAGAAATGGTAGCAAATAAAGTCGATACTCAATGTACATATATGAAAATGGAACCAGGTGCTGAAGGAAAAGGTGGGAAGTTGGGATAGATGGGGGGGGGCAGAGAATGATGGAAAGGGGTGGCATTGACCGAGATGCATTGTATTCATAAGTTGATATGTTGAATTGAAACACCTTTGTACAACTCTACACACACATACACACACACACACACACACACACACACTAATCTTTTTAAAAAGCTGAATTCTGGAGGCTCATGTCTATAACCCTAGCTACTCAAGAGGCTGAGATCTGAAGATCAAAGTTCAAAGCCAGCCCTTAAAAAAGAGAAAGGAATGTCTGGTGCCAGTGGCTCATGCCTGTAATCCTAGCTACTAAGGAGGCTGAGATCCGATGATTGTTTGAAGTCAGCCCCAGCAGAAAAGTCCCTATGAGACTCTTTTTTTTCCCCAATAAACAACTGAAAAACCAGAAATAGCACTGTGGCTCAAGTAGTAGAACACTAGCTTTGAGCACAAAGAGGCTCAGAAACAGCGCTCAGGCCCTGAGTTCAAGCCCCACAACTGACGGGGAGGAGGGTGAAGGAGAGAAAGAGAAAGAGAGAGAGAGAGAGAGAGAGAGAGAGAGAGAGAGAGAGAGAGAAAGACAGAGGCAGAGACAGAGACAGAGAGACAGACAGAGACAGAGGCAGAGACAGAGACAGAGAGACAGACAGAGACAGAGAGAGAGGATGCTATTAGATATGCTGTTTCAAGTATAACAATAAAGTAAATAAATAAGTAATTGTGCCTGACGAAGTGGTCATGTCCTGGCTTCCAAGAGGGCTGCAAGTGACTGCAGAAGAGAAACAAAGTCCATAGATATAAAATGGAAAAGTCTGAACTTCTTAGCCTTTATCTGGTTACCAGTTTATTTGTGGGTCAAAGTAATAGTCAATGTTTCTCAGAAAAGAAAGCAGCTTTTCAAGCACTTCCTACTGCAGTATGGATGAAAAATCCTTCTATAGGACACAGGATGTATTTTCTCCAAACATCCAGTTGAAAACTGAGAAAGGCAGTGGCTGCTTCAAATAGATAATGGTTTTAAGATGGAGTCTCCTAGGTGACATGAAGTGATTTCAGGAAGGTTTGTCTGTTGGACAGGGCAATTGTCTCAACTGCTGATTGAGTTTGCCTCAATCATAATGTACTATGGTGGCCTAAGGAATTAAGCAGTGTGACAATGAGAGGGGATTTCAACTCCTGTGGCAGATATGTTGATTGATTCCATGGTCTCTAATTTTATGAGCTGGCAGCACGTGGGTAGTGAAAATAAGGAAAGCTCATGGTATGACTGGAAGAATCTTCGTTGTCAGGACTGGGAATTATTTCCACCAATTTCAAAGAGGACAATCAGGGTTGGGCTGGTAGTAGCCCACTGAGAGAGTACTTGACTAGCATGTATGAAGCTTAGGTTCCATCCTAGAAAGGTGAAAGGAAGGAGATGGAGGAAAAGGAGGAGGTAAGCAAGTCTAAATGGAATGAATGACTTATTAGAAAAGTTTTCAGCTTCAGCTGTTTCTTTTTGCCTTCTGACCCATTTTATGTGTAACTATGTCCTCTTTATCATTTAGAAGGATGTAGCATAAAAACATCTGTAATGTTCTGTTGAAAAGCAGTCATTCCTTTGCAAAGAGTTAGGGAAGTTCTAAGACATACTGTATTTATCTTATAAGTGATGAAGGGAATCACAGTTTGTAGACATACAATAACACTAAAAAAATGTAGTGTATGAAGCTGGGTGTTGGTGGCTCACACCTATAATCCTAGCTAGTCAGGAGGTTGAGATCTGAGGATTGCAGTTGGAAGCCATTCCAGGCAGGAAAATCCTTGAGACTGTTATCTCCAATTAACCACCAGAAAACTGGAAGCGGAGCTGTAGCTCAAAGTGGTAGAGCTCTAGTCTTGAGTAGAAAAGCTCAGAGACAGCACCCAGACCCTGAGTTAAGCCCCAGGATCATCACCAACAACAACAAATGTAGTGTATGGTGTATGAGAGATCCTAAGTAGTGGAATACGGCAAGAAATAAAATCTATTTGAATCAGAAAGTAAGAAATTACATGATACAAATGTATATGTAACAACTCAACATATACACAATGTATTGCGATGAATGTGAAAGTTCAGCAATGTTGCTTAAGTCAATATATAAAATCATTCACATTGATAAATACCAGCAATAAATAAGTAGGACTGGTGTGTGTGTGTGTATGTGTGTGTGTGTGTGTGTGTGTGTGTGTGTGTGTGTGTTGATACTACTGTAGTTCTTGATCAGGGCCTAGGTACTGTCCCTTAGCTTCTTCACTCAAGGTTGGTATTTTACATTTTACAACTTCACCCACACCTGGTTAGAGAAAAGAATCTTACAGACTTTCCTACCCCTGCTGGCTTCCAGCTGAGTTCCAGCCAAGATTCTCAGATCTCAGCCTCCTGGGTAGCTAGGATTATAAGCATGAGTCACCAGTGCCCAAAGATCTGTCAAGAATGATGTTGAGAAAAGATACCAGTTAGAGGTCGGTGCCTCATGCCTGTATTTGTAGCTCCTCAGGAGGCTGAGAGGATCTTGTTTTGAAGCCAACCTGATCAGAAAAATTTTCAAAAATCCATCTCCAATTAACCAGCAAAAAGTGGGGCTAGAATTATTGCTCAAGTGGTAGAGCACTTTGGAGGGAGCCAAACAAGTGCAAGACCTTGAATTCAAGCTCCAATACTAGAAGCAGAAACAAGATGAAACAATTGCAACAAAAATTATTGCCAGGAAGAAAAGGCACCTGTTAGAAGGTTCTCTATCAGTTAAGCCATATAGTAGCATTCAAAATTTGATAAATAGTATCAAATATTTAATTTATACCATTTAAATATCACCACATTTTTCTTTCTGGACCCATGATTTTCCAAACAATTAAATTTTTTTAGTATCTTAAAAAAACTTATTCTAGAGCCAGGGTTTGAATTTAGGACCTATCATTCACTTGGCTTACTTGCTTAAGCTGGCACTCTACCACTTGAGCTATACTTCCAGCTCAACTTTTTTTCTGGTTATAAATAAACTGCTCAAGCAGATGAAATCTCATGGATTTTTCAGCTTTGAACCTTTATGCTCTGGATCTCAGCCTCTTGCATAGCTAGTATTACCAGCATGAGCCACCAGTGCTTGGTTTGAAAATTAGCTCTTATCTTCATTGAATTGTGCTCAGAAAACATGGTCTCTATGGCACAACGGTTTCAAAATGTTTTGAGGCTGGGCTTAGGGTGCATAAGCAATCTACTTTAATGACTTTTCTGGGTATACTTTTTTTTCTTGGGTATTACGTTGAATCTGGAATTCCACTTTTATATGCTTATTTATCTATTCATTTATGCCGATACTGGGGTTTGAAGTCAGGGCCTGGGCCCTATCCCTTAGCATTTTCACTAAAGGCTGGAGCTCTATCACAGCTCCCCTGTGGCTTTTTGGTAGTTAATTGGAGAAAAGAGTCTCATAGATTTTTTCTGCCCAGGCTGGCTTCAAATCATGATACTCGTATTACTGAGTAACAAGGATTATAGGCATGAGCCACAGCACCTACCTTAGAAGTTACTTTTTTTAACCCAATAGTATGTAGTACTGAACCTGTTCACATTCTCTCTCCATTTCTCTCTCCCCAACATCCTGCTAACCACTAGTCTACTTGTCACTTCTATGAGATCAGTATTTTATCCCAGTACTAGCACCAAAAAGAGAGAAAGCCAAAGGGGAAAAAAAAGAGAAACAAAATAACTTCTAATATTCTGCAGCACAAGAGGGTAATCATGGTTGACATCACGTAATTGTCTATCTCAAACTTACTAGTAGAGGGTCAGTGGCTTACACCTATAATCCTAGCTATTCAGGAGGCTAAGATCTAAGAATTGTGGTTCAAAGTCAGTTTGGGCAGGAAAGTCTATGAGGCTTTTACTTCCAATTAACCACCAAAAAGCTCGATGTGGAGCTGTGGCTCAATTGGGCAGATTGCTAGCCTTGAGGAGAAAAGCTCAGGGATAGCACCCAGGCCCTGAGGTCAAGAGCTAGGGGCCAGCATACACATGGAGGAGGAGGAGGAGGAGGAGGAGGAGGAGGAGGAGGAGGAGGAGGAGGAGGAGGAGGAGGAGGAGGAGGAGGAGGAGAAGAGGAGGAGGAGGAGGAAGAGGAGGAGGAAGAGGAGGATGAGAGAAGAAGAAGAAGAAGAAGAAGAAGAAGAAGAAGAAGAAGAAGAAGAAGAAGAAGAGGAGGAGGAGGAGGAGGAGGAGGAGGAGGAGGAGGAGGAGGAGGAGGAGGAGGAGGAGGAGGAGGAGGAGGAGGAGGAGGAGGAGGAGGAGGAGGAGGAGGAGAAGAGTGGAGGAGGGAGGAAGAGGAGGAGGAGGAAGAAAAGAAGGAGGAGGAGGAGGAGGAGGAGGAGGAGGAGAAGGAGAAGGAGAAGAAGAGGAAGAGGAGGAGGAGGGGAAGGAAGAAGAAGGAGGAGGAGGGGAGGAGGAGGAGGAGGAGGAGGGGAGGGAGAGGAGGAGGAGGAGGAGGAGGGAAGAAGAAGAAGGAGGAGGAGGAGGAGGAGGAGGAGGAGAAGGAGAGGAGGAGGAGGAGGAGGAGGAGGAGGAGGAGGAGGAGGAGGAGGAGGAGGAGGGAAGAAGGAGGAGGAGGAGGAGGAGGGGAGGAAGAGGAGGAGGAGGAGGAGGAGGAGGAGGAGGAGGAGGAGGAGGGAAGAAGAAGAAGAAGAAGAAGAAGAAGAAGAAGAAGGAGGAGGAGGAGGAGGAGGAGGAGGAGGAGGAGGAGGAGGAGGAGGAGGAGGGGGAAGAAGGAGGAGGAGGAGGAGGAGGAGGAGGAGGAGGAGGAGGAGGAGAAGGAGAAGGAGGAGGAGGAGGAGGAGGAGAAGGAGAAGGAAGAGGAGGAGGAGGAGAAGGAGGAGGAGAAGAGGAGGAGGAGGAGGAGGAGGAGGGGAAGAAGAAGAAGGAAGAAGAAGAAGAAGAAGAAGAAGAAGAAGAAGAAGAAGAAGAAGAAGAAGAAGAAGAAGAAGGAGAAGGAGAAGGAGAAGAAGAAGAAGAAGAAGAAGAAGAAGAAGAAGAAGAAGAAGAAGAAGAAGAAGAAGAAGAAGTTATTATTAGAGAGAACTTTATATGGTCCCAACACAAAGAAATGATAAATACAAAGAAATGAAAAATGTCTAGGTGATGGATGTACCAGATGGCCTGATGTGATCCATTACACTCTGTAAATGTACAATTAAAGTGTCACACTGTACCCACCTAACTATGTATACCTACTGTCAGTGAACTAAAACTATATAAATTAAATAGCATATACAAATATATAATATTAAACAAATATAATGTTCATTTATTTCAAAACACAGGTTTGGAAAATCAACCAGGCCCAGGATAAATATTAACTTCACTGCTTACAAGATCTTCATCTTCATCTTCATCTATAACAAAGCTCCTCTCTCCTGGGAATCACCAGACAGGAGACAGCTTGTGTCTTCCAGCCCCAAGCTGGGAAAACTTGATTCTTATTCTAGGAAATCCCTTCTCCCCTTTCAGATTTCCTCAGTGATAGACCTTATCCACGGCATGCTCCCTCTTGACTTAGGTTCCTCAATGAGTTTAGAGATTGAGAGATAAAAGGCAAGAAGGAAATGTATTGAAACAACTTCTGCTTTCCATTCCATCATTGTCTAACTTCTTGAGACAGGCACTAGGCCTGGGTCCATTCTCATAAGGGGAAAATTGCAAGGATCTAAACAGAAGTTAATGTTGGCAAAGTTGTCTCACTATGAAAGGAATTGCTGAAGCATGCATGCTCAAGGACCAGGGGATAAAATGGGAGCAAGGAGGACTCTGTATATCCTCTTAAGAACTTGGACTTTTTGACAAAAAAACAATATACAATTGTACATGATACAGGAGTCTAGACATTTGACATGTTGGTCTAGAGACCAAAGGAGGGTATTCTTAGGAGATGATCACAGTGCTCAATAGCTATGGGCATATCTATGGGCATAGATATTATATAAAATTTTGTTTATTGAAATGAACTCCAAGAAATTTGAAACAAGAGGGTTTTTTGTTATTTTACTTCTTGTTTTTTTCTCCTTTGTAGCTATTTTTTTTTTAAATTTCTGTACTTTAGGTGTTTATGTGTTTGGGGGAGAATAAGGGGAGCGCAGAAGAATAGTGGGGACAAAGGGTGAACAATGCAGCAGTGATACTAGACACTATAGGAAGCGTATGTAATTCTCAAAGCAGGCCTGTTTCTATTTTGTTGACATAGGAACTGAGGGATAAATTCTTTCTATGGTTTTACTTATGCTTCTCCATAGTGTGTGTGTGTGTGTATTTTGAAGCTGCATGCCTGTAATCCTAGTCACTTGTGAGGCAGAGATCTGAAGATCTTGCTTCAAAGCTGGCCAGGACAGAAAAGTCTGTGTGACTTTTATTTCCAATTACCCAGCAAAAAGCCAGAAGTGGAGGTGTGGCTCAAGTGGTAGAGTACTAGCCTGGAGCAAAAAAAACTTAAGGGACAGTGTCCAGTCTTCCAGTATTCATTGGATGGGTGGTGGGACCTGGAAGGGGGGGGGGGGCTTGATTTTGGAAGAGCAGATCCAGATCCAGTCTTTTTTTTTTTTTTTTCTCTCTCTCTGATGTGCTTGGGGAAGTGAAACCATCCTTTTCCGTGAGGCCTTGCTTACTTTGGGGGAAGTTACCCACAAGCGAGGCAGAAGGGCCTTGTGGGGAAGGGAGTGTAAGGGTTCTGTGGGTCTGGGTGCAGCTAGGCAGTCTGGCAGCAGGCTGGATCCCCGGGAAGGAACTGTGCGGTTGCTAGGCCCATTGCTGGAGGTCTGAATCAATGCTCATTTCATCATTCTCAGAGCCATGGGAAACATCCTCAGGATGCGCACTGGGAAATGAACCTGCCTCGAGAAGTTACTCATTGGCTTCCACCCCTCACTTGAACACAGCAGTGGACACGGACACCTCGCAGTCGGTATTGTAAAAAGCAGATGTACGACGGGGTTTTGTGGGGGCAGGAGGGGAGACTGATCAAGGTGGACGCCGTCACGTCTTGCGGCATGCTGGAGCCGGCGGGGACTGGCTCTTACTCGCGGGGAGCACGCGAGTGGTTTTCACGTCGTGACCGTGCGTCAGGATTTTCTGGTCCTCGCGGGTGCCTCGCTGCAAGGTTGCCCGGGGCCGTGGGGGGCGGGGGGGAACAGAAGAAACTTTTCTTTTAATGCAATCTCTCGTGGCCGGAAGTGGGAGACGTCGTCGCCCCGCTCGCCGCCCCAGGAGACAGCCGGGGAGCGGGCAGGAAACCCACACGCGCGCTCGGGGCGGCTGCGGCCCGGGGCGTGCCCGCCAGCGCGCGGCGCGCGTCCCCAAGGGCGGGGGAGAGGGGGAGCTCACATCACGTGACAGGGCGGGGCCTGCGCGCTGCCCGCCGCCCGCTCGGCCGCCGCCGCTGCCGCCGCCGCCGCCGCCGCCGCGTCCCATTCATGAGGGCCGCCCGGCTCTGCTGCGGCCCAGGCGGCTTCCACGGTAGCAGCGGCGGCGGCGGGAGACCCGGCCCCACGCGCGCCCCCGGCCGACCCCGCCCCCTCAGCCGCCTTCCGAGGCCGGTCCTCGCCACCTTGGTCCAGCCGCCGCTGCCTCCCCTCAGCCGCCCTCCGGGAGCGCAGCGCCTCAGGTAAGCGAGCGCCGGCGGCTCCTCGCGCCCCCGGCTGCTGGCGGACGCAGCTGGCGGGCGCAGGGCGGCCGGGTGGCAGGCCGGGGGCCCTCCGGGGAGGCGCGGGCCGAGCTGCCCTCTACCCGCGACCCTGCCCGCGCTTCGCCGCCACCGCGCCACGTAGACGCGGCCCCGGTCGCCGCCGCAGGACGGACGCCGCGGGGGTGAGGGGGGGGGGGCTGAGGATCCGGGAGAGCCCCCGGGGCCCGGCCGCCTCCGGGGCGTGATGGTTTCCCCCGAGCCGGCTCCGGCGGGGAGGCCGGAGGGACGGGGCGCCGGGCACGTGATCCGGAGAGACCCGGGCCGGCGAGTTGCGGGTGTTTCTCGGGGGTCGGTCGTTTGCCCACCGCCGCCGTCGCTCCCCGAGGCCGTGGCCCGGGTTCAAGTGTCAGTCGTTCACTCTGCCCCGGCCCCCCCCCCCCCCCCCGGCCCCTCCGACCCCCCCCCCCCGCCCCCTCCGGCCAGTCTTAATTGGTATCCGCTTGGTTGAGACAGTTGTACCCAGGGGCTTCTTGAGCGTGTGTGTGTGTGTGTGTGTGTGTGTCTGTGTGTGTGTCTGTGTGCGTGTGTGCGTTTAATGCCGCGGATCACCTGAACCGACGGACGGAGATTATTTTCATTCAAATTTGGGATGGCCTTTAGGCGACACAATTATGCAAAATGGGGCCAGGGAGATCACCCTTCCTTTGGGAAAGTGCTAGAGGTCTGAATACTTGGAGAGGCTCCCAAGGATTACTGAGCCAGCAGCCGGACTAATTTTTAATGCTAATTTGAAGGCTCACAATCCCCCTCCCAGTTATTGAAAATGAGTTTCTTGCTTTGCTGGCTAGCCTGACCCTGCTAAAGTTCGTTTGCTCTATGTTAAAAATGCTGGTTAATGGCTAAGATTTATTAGGACATACACTCCCCCCCTAGTTTATAATGTTCTGATGATACACAGTCAATTTTGAAGTCCATTTTTGGAATATTTGGCAGTTACATTAACCCCTTAAGGGTTCACGTGTTGAAGACCTGAGGTTGGTTGATGGTTTGCAGTGGCTGAGGAATGAAAAGTGTGGCAGGTGATGATGGGGGGGGGGGGGGGGATGGACGGTGCAGACGGTAGAGCCAGGTGACAACCCTCCTGTAGCTGGCCCTTCCACTGAACTTCCTAACTTTGGCTAGGTTTGACCTGAAGTGGTTGCCCTTCGGGCACAAAACAAAGCTGATTACAAGAGTGGGTGGCTTCTTTCCTCCACTTAAATGTGTAATCAAATGTGGTACCACGAGCCGAAATATCCTTGCTTAAGTGTTAGTAGGTATAAATGTACAACACTAGAAATGAAACAACAGAGTTCTTCTATTTTTTAATCAACAGAGAAGCATTATGTATAAGAGGATCTGGAAATGGGAGCATTTGAAAACCCTTGAGCACTATAATGAAGTACTGTTGAGCAAATAATAGGGTCAGCTGGGGCAGTGCTTTCTTTATTGCTACCTTCTTGTAGCAACAGCAGCGCTCATCACTCCTGCATTGTAATTTTTGGTTTACTGACTGAACTGTCCTAGCTCTGGGTTCAGACTCCCTGAAGGCAACACTTCCCAAACTGCTTAGGACCAAGCTGAGAACTTGGTTGAGTTAAACTATGAAGTAGCAGGCAGTTTGTCCTTTCCTGGGAGTCGGTGGGGATTCCTAAATGAATTCACCGAATTTTCCTGAGTGGTGAGTCTTGAGTGGATAATCTTGGTGGTGCCACACATTGGAGGTGGTTAGAGGTTAACTTTGGCAAATGAACATTAAGTGGGGGTTTTCAGTACTGAAATATCAATATTTAGTTTAAATATTGTTTGGTTCTTTATGTAAACAGCTATTTTTTGTGCTGCTTTGCATGCATAACAAAGCAGAACAATAACTCAAGGTAGATTATAAGCAGCCTCATTCAGGATTTCTGTTTAAGTCTGACTTGAGTCTGTCTTTAAATCATTTCCTTTTTGCTCTGACCTCAGAAACTGTTGCTGTGTTTTGTATGTGTGGGTTGATCTGCCCTGTCAGTTGGTAAGCAGTGGTTTGGAACCTTTATTTTAAAAATCTGTTCTTAGCTGTTTCTAATTTCCTTCATTGCTAAGGAAGTTATTATACTGCTGGCTGAACCCCACGGCCTTCTGAGCTATCATTTGCCTTTTTCATAATGAAACAACTGACAGGTTGGTAGGCAAGGTCTGCAATTGGCAGAACACATATAAATGGTGTGTTAAACCTTGCGAGAGCTTGAAGACACTTATTTTAGGCTACAATGGTAATATTGTGGTGATGACTTGGTAACTAGGTATTTGAATGAGAAGTTGTCTTGGTGGCTTTGCTAAAAGGTAACCATTTTTAGCTCTACCTCTTCCACCTTTGTTTTTTTTAAATTTTATTTTATTATTATTTTTGGTTTATGTGGTACTGAGGAATCCAACCCACGGCCTCATGCCTGTCAGGCAAGCACTGTGCCACTAAGCCATATTTCTACCTCGACCATTGTCTTGATTCGATTCTTTGTCAGTAACATGTTTATTTTTTGGGGGGGGAGGGGGGCTCTGGTTGTGGGCCTGATCTCTGGGCCTGGGCTCTGTCCCTCAGCTCTTCAGCTCAAGGCTAGCGCTCTACCACTTGAGCCACAGTGCCACTTCCGGCTTTTCTTTCTGCCTATGTGGTGCTGAGGAATCGAACCCAGGGCCTCATGTATGCAAAGCAAGCTCTCTACCACTGAGCCACCCAGCCCAGCAACATGTTTATTACAGTAAACATTTTGCATGTGTGAGGTCCTATACTTTTCAAGACAAACATGAGGGAAAGTTACTCCTGGGGTTCAGATGAAGTGGCCAGGTAACTTCATTTCCCAGGTGTCAGCAATGTAACCCTCAAGTGATAGGTTGGTGTCCAGGCCACTTTATTCTTTCTCCCCTTGGGACCCAGCTCTTGATTTGCAGCAGGAAGCTAGGCCCTCCTGTCTGATGGTTGAGTTCAAAGCCAGCCTGGGCTACCTATCCAAGCCTGGTCTCAAAACTAAACAATAACAAAGTTAGGAGAGGAACTCTGCTACAGTGCAAGCAAGATAAGGAAGGCCCTTAACATTCATTTTAGGGTTAAAATGATGAGAAACTTTTTTTTTTCTGATTTGGCTCATTGACTACAGTTTAAAGTCTTTTCTCCTTGAAGCCTTTGCATAATAAATTTCAATGATGTTCTTTGTCAGTTTAGGTTGATGTTAAAATTATTATTATTAAGAGATGAGAAAGAAAGAAAACCTAGTGAAACCGTTACTTCGTCATCTTTTCCTACCTCCATTCACCTTTGTACAAACCAAGATAGTTTATGTGACTGATAAAAGAGGGATCGTATAGAATTCTAGTTAGATTATTTAGGCCACTTATATAATTTGAGAAACTTCATAAATGAATTAGAAAAATGTGTGTATAGATTGTGGGGAAAGGTAGCTTCCAAAACATGATCTTTTAAAAAAATCTTCATATTCAGCATAGAGTCATCTGATAACTTGATTATAATTTTTTCTCCTGCACGAGGAAGTTTGAGGTATTTATTCATTGTCTAGGCTACCATGTACATTTTTCCTGGTTAGAATATAGAATTTCCTAGACAAGATGGGAAGAGGGGAGATTGAGCTGCCCTGGCCAACTGTCTGCCACATAGCCTTGAGGGAAAGCTCTGCTTGTGCCAAAGCTGTGCACCTACTGGCCTTGAAGGTAGTGAGAAGCATTCAAAAGGAGAGGTAGGCAAGCTGCCCAGGGCAAGGAGGAGGATCCTGTGACCCAAAAGACTGTACACTGCTTCTGCATCTTCTATGTGGGAAAAGTCTGTCCTTTATGACCAAACTCTGAGAAAGACACTGCCTAATGCCTGACAGTCTAGCCAATGTTTGAGGTCCTTCTTGCACCAAATCCCAGAGGCTTTTCCAGCCCTCTGACCTGCACCTGCATAGTATATAAGGCTTTCAAGGCAGAAGAACAAGAGCCCCACTGGATGGGCAGAGACTATATAGAGGTGTGAATGTGTTTGTGCATTTGAACGTTTGTGCCTGGCAGAAGTGGGACAGGGTGAGAGGGAACTAATGCTGCTTCCCACACCATGGTATATCTGTGCACAAGCTTTTGGCTTCCCTTTTTGTTCTACTCTAAGTGGGCCTGATGGGATCTCCACCACTACAACCTGAGGGGGTCACAGTGTGTGGTGTACTTCAGAACAGTTCCAGGGTACACAGGGAAGTGAGTTGTGCAAGCAT